AGGCAATCTGCCCAATTCATATATTTTAAGTGAATTGCCTCTAAAAGTTTAAGCTTCAATATTAAATTCATCTTATTTAAAAACATTTTAGAATATTTTTGTGCAAGACGCACTAAATTTACCTTTAGATTATTGTCGTTTTAAAAAAACTGTTCAGGATTTACCAAAAACAATATTCATATTTATGAAGTGATTTGTTTTTAGTTAGAATACACTTTTTTTATCTGCACAATGGTCACCACTTTTTGAAAAACTATTAGACAATGGTTTTTCAACAATTTTTGATGATTCCGCAAGCGGAATTTGCGTCTCATTCGCAGCGCGTTTCGATTCGCACAAATGCCGTCGTCAAAACGCAAAAAACTGCGGCAGCAAAGAGCTCGGGAAAAATCGCGACGCGAGAGCGATGAGAACGGGGGGATTTCAGAGGGGTTCCTCGGATCGGATCGGATCGTATCGTATCGCATGGATCTCGCGGAGGACAAACGTTGCTAAAAGTCCGGGGAGCGCGCGCACTTGAGCTACGACCACTGAACGCTGGACTCAACTGAGGCGAGCTCGCCAAAAGTATCTTAAAGATGCGCAACAGATCGGCAACTTTAACGGCAGCGCGCTGCAACAAGTTTTTTGCCAAATCCATAAAAACAAAAGGCAAATAAACAAACGGCAGTGCACTCAAACAATTGCAACGCAAAGTGTCTCTGTGTCAGTGGGTGTATCTGTGTGAGAATGTATCTGATGCAGGTACTTGCACAGATACATACACACCTGTTTGCAACATTGCAATTGTGGAAAAAAAGAGAGAATGAACTCTCTCAACCTGTGATAATTTTAGTTAAAATATTAATTTTTTTAAATTCAAAAGAATTTAAGGTTCCTTTCAGGGGCTAATTTCTCTCGCTTTTAGTTCTCTGGAAATGTATCTCTCTTCAAAGTCTCCCTCTCTCTCTCTCTATTCCCACGCACACAACCTTATAAAGCTACGATCGCTCTCTTAGGTTCCACAAAAAGCTGCCGTCATTAGTGGAAAAGAGACAACTAATCCCACTGACTGAACGTCACACACACACTTGCCTTATTCAAATCAAGCTTTTTCCATCTCCCTCACACTTACGGAGGCCCCATGCTCTCCCTCGCTTTATTTAAATTTATGATTATCGCTTTGTGTGTGTGTGCCTACTTAATCCAATGGGAGGTGGAGCCGTACCTCTCTGTCCAATTGGGAGATACTTGCACATAGACTTTTATTTCGACTGCATATCGCCTCGTTAGCTGTCACAGTGGGGATGGGGGGATTTATTTTTATTTTGGAGCCCCCGACTCTATCCAATTGGATTTGTGTTTTGCAAACTGGTTTCGCCAACGCCTCTTATTGGCAGAGTTATTCTTAGGCCTCTTTTGGCTATTAGATAAATGTTAACTAAGCGCAAGTCAAGATATAGTTTTAACATCTTTACGTACAGAAAACGGATAACAGATAAGTTTACAAATATGCAATTAACAAAAAACTTTGATAATTTACAGTTTTAAAACTTTTTTTGAATCGGTGCCCTGCGATTATAGTTAATATAAGTTTTTATAACAATTAATTTTAGTTAAAATAAAAGAAGACGAAAACAGAATTAAATTAGTCCGAACGTAATTAATAGAATATATTAGATTTTATAGAAATAAATAAGATTATTTATTTAAAAATTTATTTTTTGTTTGTTAACATTTATTTACGACTGTGTAAATGATTTATCTATAGTAAGTGAATAAGCCCATTAGTAACCTTTTTATTTAATTTTAAGCAAAGGCAAAACTATCAGTTTGTTAGAGCGGCAGCAAAAACCAATAATAATAAAATTATCATTGATCAAAATTTGTTTACGTAAAAACATTTTAAAGTTTAGATTTACAATTTTCATGCCGCTATGAGTTTTTGATCGAATACATTGGGCAGCGATTACCTATCTTAGACCAATGTGTCTTTTTATTTTTAATAATACATTACTAACACATATTATCAAACATATTTTTAACAAATGTTCCCAGATAATCTGTAAGCCATTGAAAGGCATCGGGCATTCAGTTTGGATTCGCCTCGAGGAGTTTCCACCGAAGGGCATTGTTTTTGGCTGTTGCTTCTTCTTCTGCAGAAATGTATTACATATATGCGCGGCATATCGCAAACGCACGATCTGTTGACACAATTCCGCCAGCAATTAAGTTGATTCACCTCCGCGGGCTGGATTTTACCTGGCGCTCAATTTGCCGGCGTTTAAGAAAGCTGTCAACGGCGATCGGCGATCGGCGACCTGGGTGCATAATGCCAAGTGGCCAACTGGAGCTGATCTCGGCCAATTGTTTACCATATGCAGTCCGGCCAGGCATTCCAAACTGTCCGCTCGGGCTTATTAGCCTGTCGTTTGCATTTCTGCGGCATTTCCACTTTGTTCAAGGCGCCGGCCTCCCAAGCGAACTTCGCTGAATTTGAATGCAAATTCCAGGCATTGCGCGCTCTTGGCCATTCAAATGTTGCCGCAGCTCACTGGCCGGAAAGTTATGGATTAAATGGCAAAGCATCCAGATACCCTGGAAAGATACCCATGGAAAGTTCATTGGTTAATTAGGCTTTGACTGCTTTTAGAGGAAAAAATATTATTAAACTAAAATGCCTTGGTAACCTCAATGTCAACATTTTAAATATTTCTTATTAAAACTTTTTTATTGTTTTAAAAACATATAACGTATTTTTTTGCACCTATTAAATCAAAAATTAAAGTTACTTAAAATAGTGTAAAAAAATATTATTAACTAAACTTATTAAAAATCATTTTCAAAAATCCAAAATGCTGATAATATTATAATTATAAAATAATTACGAGTACTTCCATTTTATAGGTCGGAAGCTACCTTAATAGAAATAACTATTCGTATAATTATTAAATACCTTCCTAATATACTTCCATTTCATAAGTCTGATGCAACAAGTCAAAAAAATGATGGGCAGTCCTTAGGCCTTTTCTCATCATGGTTGGTTTGGTTCCTGGAACTCCAATCTATGTTTAAATTACCATTTAAATGTTACCTCGGCCGCAGCATTTCAGCACAATGTTACATTCACATTACTCAGACAGCATAAAATTGCAAACACATATTATTGACACATCATTATCAATCAAAGTTATGCTCAGTTGAAAGTCCGCAATGCTTCCGCAAAAGCGAAGACGAAGCGCAAGAATCGCAGTATTCGTTCTCTCCACAGATTACAGCTAAGTTTTATGACCATGATTTATGGCAGAATTCTTCATAGGCGGCCGTTCTGGTTTGATGGCCCAGGCCCAGTGCACCATGAAGCATCCGAATCCCAATCCGAATCCGAAAAGACACACTCGCTGACACGCACAGTCTAGATGCCAGATACTAGATACTAGATACTAGTTCCTTACTAGATATCTGGCAGATACCACCGCACTCTAGCATGCTTTATGGTCTAATACTGATGGTTAGTTTTGTTCAACATAAACTGCTCGATTTCATGTATTCCATTTAAATGTCATAGAAAGTTGTTGCAAATCAACGTCGTATTCTTTTCATTCCCCGCTTTTACATCCATATTTATTCGCCATAATTTCGTGGATTTATGGATTTCTCTTCTATTTCGCTGTTCTCCAAATGCATTTGCCTTGTTTAATCTGATTATAATTGGTAAAACAGAAGCATAAAATATTCCAAATGATTGTTATGCCAAAGTTAATGGCGATTTTGCGATTTTTATGTGGGTTAAAAAGGGGGATAAAATAGAAAAATATCTTGTCGGAAGTACTACTTGTGTTCTGCATACAAATTAGATATGAAAGTAGAGTTTAATATAAAGCAAAACTATATAGAGTGTTTGAATTTTTGTTTGAAATTTTTAGAAATTTTAAAGATTTTTTACAAGCATATTTAACTTTGCTTATTATTCAAAATATTTTGACTTATCACTAAATTAAAACTAGTTTATCTTCTTGAATCATAAAATTGTATTCTAAAAATAAATTTTTTTTTATGTATGTGTGTTTATTATATTTGATACTTAAAGCTTCTATTAATATATAAAACAAAATTGATTTATATTTGGGTGTAATTGCTGTAATTTTTTAAATTGGAGCCCGCCTTGTTATTCTTTTTATATTAATAAATGCAAATAAATAATATATTATAAAAAGTAGGTGGTTTTAACCTGCCTGGAATGTTTTGCTAATGAACCCCATAACATGACCTAAGACATTAATCAATAAGCACGGCTTTTGATGAGGGCAGATTTTGTACCTTTGGCTCTTTAATGGAAACTCATCCATATTTAGCTGGCTGCTAGGCAATTTTTCACTTCACACTTGCGAACACGCCATGCCGAGCGCATTTTTCTCTTTAACGCATTTAAACCGCACTGGTTAACCCCAAACTTTGCATTTAAATTAAAAACAGTGCGCGAACAATAAGGGAAAAACAATTAAATGTGATATGAAAAGGGTTGCCTGCAACCAACTCGTTGACAAATTGTGCGATTATGCTAAGGCCAGGCAAGAAACAGAAAGTTTTATAACTTTAATTGTCGCGTTACAACACCCGCAGCAGCAAACGCAAAGTGCAGACAACAAAAGGCCATGTAATTATATAGCCACTATATCCCCCGCCAACTCTCCTCTGACACACGGAATTCTTCTGGAGCATTACAAATGAGCCATTGGCGTGCTGTTCCCTTGCTTATTTTATTTTTTATTAACGCTTTTCCTTCTGTCTAATTGTTTTTAAGCAAATCGAGCCGCAGGGCTAAGATGTCTGGCTTTTATTTTAATTTTTATTTTTAATGCTGCCATAAATTCAGATGTGTTCAACTTTATGGGGCATTACCGAATATAATAAAATAAATTATAATAAAAAATATATATAAATATATTGTTAAAATATCACAATTTCAGATAATAATTTATATATAATACATAAAACATTATATTAATGTACTGTGTGGCTCTTTTTTTATTTTTATTGCTCACATAATCTGAGGTGTATTAAACTTTATGTGGCATTGCCGAATAAAATAAAAATAATAAAAAAATGTTTACAAATATATTGTTAAATTATGTACATAAACATTGCATTAATGTATTTAAAAAAAAAACAGGAAATAAAATCCGCAAAAGTCGTAAAAATCTAATCTGATGTTTGATAAAAGCGCCACCAATTAAATTTCAATTAGCATAACCTAACCCCAAAACACTTACTCTTAATTGTGGAAATAAGTTCACGCATTTCAAGTGGTTTTTCCCTACTTTAATAAATTTATAAAAATACATAGTTAAAAATTTATACATAACACATTACGTAATGTATGGTGAGCTTCTTAAAAAACAGGAAATAAAATCCGCAAAAGTCGTAAAAATCTAATCTGATTTTTGATAAAAGCGCCACCAATTAAATTTCAATTAGCAGAATCTTACCCCAAAACACTTACTCTTAATTCTGGAAATAAATTCAATCATTTCAAGTGGCTTTTCCCTACTTTAATAAACGACTTTATGGTGTTAGGCTGTGCTGGGTCTGCAAATTGCTTAAGATTTTAATCTATAAAACACTTTTTTGTACTTTCAACTGCTTTTCAGATCAATAGTTAATTATTTCAGGAACGTTTCCAACAGTTTAACGGCTTTGTTGGGTCTGTTGGCGCCAACGGCGATTGGTTGATCAGAAATCTACTTCAACAGTTTGTTAATTGGAGTTTACAGTTCGCTTTGGGTTATTATAAATGCACTTCCTAATTGAACTGCAGTCGCTTGAAAGAATTGATGAGGTAATGAAGGTAAGGCTCTGCGAGATCATAGATACATATGTCAAGTGGGAAATAAGCCATTAGTTATTACAATATAGAAAATCTGATATGGATAACACAAGAACTGTAATTTCATTTTGGGTTTGTATTTGATTTAATAAAACCTCACAATTGGTAAAGCCCTGAAGCGTTATAAAGAATTCTTGACTGTGACTTTGATATACAAGATACAAATTTCGTTTTTAACTAAGTATAAAAAATAGTTGTGCTGCGTTTAATTACACAATACGCTCTTTACATTTCTTGTCGGCGATTCGCTTTGACTTCTGAATAACCCAAAGGCATATAAACTCTATAAACTAAAGAGCAACAAATGCAGAGGGAAATGCTGCGTTCAAGAGACGCAAAAATGCTGTACAACAAGCGCCAAGTTTGCCACACAAATCAAAGCCGATTTGCCGTTTGCCGTTTGTGTACCACTTTGGACATATATGGAAAAATTAGTGGGATGTTTTCAGATTGTCCAGTGTCCAGAGAGATAGCTTGTGGAACCACAAGGGGAGTTGAGGGGTTTTTTTTACCAAGGTGTCGTCGTCATTAGCAGTTGTAGATAAAGCTGCGATGGAGAAAGAGCGAGAAATATATATTCGAAATTGGCGTTTGATTTTTGATTATGAAATTTGATGCACTCACACTCGTTGCGGCGTTATTGTGTGTGGTGTCCCCACGGATTCGAGTGGCAACATATCCTCACGCCAATAAACGCGCAATTATAATAAAAATAATCACAGGGGGCGACTGCTGATCCTCTCCATTTGGTCATAACCAGCCGGGCCAAAAGAGTGGAGTTGCTGGCTGCTGGATGCTGGATGCTGAGCTGCTGGCCAAGATCCAAGATCCAGACGCGTTTGATCGTTGCGATCCGTGGTTCCCGATCGGTTCCCGACTGGATTATCGCCTTTTCGAACAGCTTTTTCTCCTTTTGTTCCCGTTCTCTACAATCTCATTGCGACGACAATTGGCGAGTAATTGCTGCTGCATAATAATTCCCCGCCAGCCATCGTTGGCCTGGTCAAGTTTTTGCCACTTTTTGCGCCTCTTTGCCGGCTTTTTTGCCCTCGCCGCCAGCCACTTAATCCGTTTTTGGTTGAGTGAGTTTCCTGAATTTATATACAAAATATTATATACATATTTCTCACATATACACTCATTTTTTTCTTAATCTAATAAAGAGAATTAATTAAAATGGCATGAAATAAATTAACGAAGCAATTAGACACAAATTCCATTACAAGGTGAGGGAGCTCAGAAAACTGCCTTCAAAGGCATTATCAACTAAAAAGTAGCGAAATAATTCAACAAAAATTGTTGCAAAAAATTAGCATCGCCAATGAGGTTGGGTTTACTTTTAAGAGCTGAGAAGGCTGTAATTTAATAAATTATATATTTTGGGCGTAGCAAGTTTATTATTCATTTCTCAATGTATGATTTTTTGATGGGAACGCCATAAAAAAAATTTTCCAAGTTGCAGATTTATGGCATCCAAGTGAAAGGAAAACAACATACAATATTGAACTACGAATTTTTTTATGATTGTTGTTTCCTTATAGAATTTTATATTAAACTAACTTAATGCAAATTGCTTTATAAGTAATAATTGAATTATAATGCATATAATATAATATATGATATAGAACCGTGTCCAAATAAAATAATGACAAATATTAAATAATAAATATGTATATTACTCAAAATTTATGAAATCAGCTTAAAGATTTATATGTTCATTATATAAATTTTTTTATTTTTAAAACGTTCAAAATCATTAGAATTGTTATAATCACATTTAAACCAGTATTATATTTATTTTTTAAAAGACTTATTTATTAAGGATCTTTTTCAATTACAGGTGTATTAACTTAGGCAATTTAAATGGAATCAAGTTTCAATATGTTTTGCATACATTTCCTATTAAGTATCTGGCCTTTATTCATATCTCTGGAATCATATCTCTGGAATCATATCTCTGGAATCTTCCACGACATCTTTGCCTAATCAATCATTAAATGTCTATTAGAGTTTATCTACGGCTAACGATCCATCAAGACCAGTGAAAAAAGCTCATTTTCCACGGTCATGAAATCAATATTCAAAAAGCCTCCACTACCAAATTGGCAACAATCTGTCAGATGCATTTCATAAAGCCCCAACGTCGGTCAGAAAAAAAAAACCGCATCTCAGCGTTGTGTGAGAGGAGTGAGGAGAAAAAAGTCGAAAATTGCTTTATGAACACGTTTCAATTGCGTTTTGCCAGCTCGCCAGGCATGTTCGATGTCATGTACTCCATGGCTGCAGTCGAGGGAGAGACACTTCTCCTGGCCTGATGAAATCGATCATTTTCCCACGATCGACTGCGTCGAAGGCATCGACTGGCTAAGATCGGCTCGGTTGTCAGGCGGCCCAAGTCTCAATGACTAACTCTAACTGCACAACAAGTGGCCAGTTGGCCGGGTTGATGGACAGCGTGTATAAATGAAAAAAACCTGGCCAATAGCAGGCATTACTTGATTTGTATGTGCTGCTATGTAAATGCTATAAAAGGATTTTGATTACGGCCAAATGCCGGCCCCGCCAGTCGGACGACATGGCCAGAAGGTGTCTGAATTCTATTGGGATGTAATGCTCCTGGTGCAGAGGGTCTTTCTCCGAAAGGCGGAAGCATGACTGGTCGCCTTTTTTGATCGTCAGCCAGAATTCATTGATCGATATCAGGGTGCCGGGGAATTAAAATTAAAATCTCACCATGCTGTACTTCTTGCTACCTTTTTCAAGAATTAAAACGCTTCACTTATGGTTATATTTTCGGAATACAAAATGTTTATGTTAATGTTAATGTTACAAGGAAATTAAACTGTTTTAACTAAAATACTGAATAGAAGAACTAGAAAAATGGATATTATTCAAAATCCATTTGACATTACATTAATTATAAATTGATCGTACATGAAAGTTATATTACTTTAATATTACATTAAATTGTAATATATTATTTACTGTATCGAATATCAGTCAAATGAACATAAATTTGATGTAACTTAAATATCGTTAAAATATCGAAAATATCGCCTAGAGAAAAAAAAATCAAAATAATGTAAGTATAATTTTTTCAGAAACTTGATTAAAACTTGCGTTTAACAATTTAGATAAAAATATTTTAAGTCTCAAAATTGTTAGTGAACGATAGTTCAGTTAATATTAGTTCAGTTTTATTTAAAACGTAAGCTAATCGCCTGAGACAGTAGATAAAAATATTATTTCTTACATAATTCTTATAAAAATAAAAAACGTTTACAAACGCAGTAAACAACGAAAGTTTTTAAATCAACAAAACCTTTGTCTAATCCCGCTCCACGCTGTAAGTCATGTATAAACAGTTTTTCGTTGGGGCTTTATTCTAATTAGCAAGGTGTTCGGCCTTTCGACACCTTTTGCCCTCCTCTACCGGTCTTACGCACTCGCCATGACTGGTAGAAAATAAATATTTGAGCCTCTTAATTGGGGCGGACAGTCAGCTCGATCCGCTCAGTTCTTTGACATGTTTTCTATTTGTCTAATTTGTCAAGTTTTGACTGGAATATTTTCGGTTTGTAAAACGGAAATGATCCAACAAAAAGTTTGTGGCTTACAGATTTTTGGGTTTTGAATTTGAAAGCGTGGCCAATTTTTTGGGCTGAGTTGAGTTGGAAAAAAATACATATTTAAATTGATCCCCTTGAGCTCGTGTTCAAACAATGCTTATTTTGCGTCTTGATTGGCAAGTGTGCCTCAGTGTTTGTTTTTTTGGTCATGGATTCGTGGCAGAGCATACATTCAGAAGCTTATCTTGGCTTTTCAGCTTACAAATCGAAGCGTGCTGGTAAAATAAGAAGCTTAATGTTGGGATCCCTTGATCTAAAAAACTTTCAAAAATTATCAGAAAGTGTGCTTTTGACGAGACTAATATTGGGAAATCATTTTTTATCACAGGAAATAAATTATTATTCACAGGAAATAATATTGGGAAATCATTTTTATCACAGGAATTAATTTTTTTAATACATTACATATTACACATTTAAATTATAAACAATTTATATCGCACTGCTTAATAAAGACCTGTATATCAACTGCAATACTTTTTTTAAAATTATGGTTTCCTAAGTAATATGTTATTGCGCATTTGTATATCATCATTTATCTTACCCCTTTTGTGTAATTCACCAAATCCAACATGTTGTATTTAAACCTGTGTATGGTACAGAAATTTCCAATCAAAAGTCCCTGAAAAGTTTGCCATTTTATTAAAGTTCTTAGTAAATGCATTTTTAACTTATACTCACCTGAACAGAAGAATTTATAATATGTACTTCAATAATAAATACAACAAATATTATTGAAAATGCTATATAGAGGTCCTTACTTTCTCAAAGTCTAAATCAAACTGAGAGCTGCCGGTAAAAAATAAAATTCCAACCACCCTTCGATAAAAAATGAACAGTCATTCAACCCTTTACGTGGTCTCTCACTTCCAGTCAAGGAGTTTTGCATAAAGCAATGGTTCTTTCCTTTTTTAGAACTCTTCCAACCCCTTCGATGAGGAGGTGGAACCAGTTCCGGACGCCAGATGGCGCTGCTGGACCATTTTTGTTGGATTTCCACTGCGATGACATTCATTAATGGCAGAAAGACTTGTGAATAATTTATATAATTAATACCCCGCTACGTTGACCACGCACAGCTGGCATTTAGTCGCAACTTAAGGAGAGATCTCTCAGCTGCTGTTTAATAAAATATTTTAAATAATTCCGTAATCTAAATGCAGTCATCGTCAGAGCAGCAAAACAAGCCCAAGAACGTTGGCGACGTTTTCCTCATTGGAGGCAACAGTAACAGCAACATCAACAGGATGCTGAGATGCTGAGAAGCTGAGAAGAAGCTGGCACTGAGAAAGAAATTCTAAATACCGACGAGTCACAGCAGCAGCATCCAGCACAAATCACAAATTGTCACGTTAATAGTGGCGGCCATCCCCGATCCCATCCCACCTCCATCCAACCTCCGCCTCATTTGAGCTTGTCTTGCATTTCGCATCCGTATAAATGCAATGTAAATTTTTTTGTGCTCTGCGCGCCATTGCATATGTCAAGACAACAACAAAACGCTCGCGGAGGAGATGGCCAAAGAGGCCAACTTGGGGTTTGCTAAGAGGTAAGCTGGAGATGACACAGTGAAGATTAAAATAATAATTGTTTTCATTTTTTTTCATTGAACAGTATAACTATTCTGTGGAATATTAAAAAGGAGTTACCTTTATGTTTTATTGCAAAAAGTTTTTATTAAACTGGTTAAGCATTTAATTGGTTGTATTATTATTTTTTGGTATTTCGGATCACTTTTTTATGCCAACATAGAAAGTCATCCAAAAAACGTGTCGGCCATTATTTTTGTAAAATGCTCAAAAAAAATTGAATACCTCAAATTTGAAGTTACATTAATTTGTAGTTTACTATGATAAGAAAACACTTGAAGGTCTGGCTTGATCGCCCAAAAAAACTGCAATATTTTTTAGAATATTGTAACGTATTGTTTTTAAACAAAGCATACTAATCAAGTAATCTTTCTGTGCCCCAATAAACTCCAACACGCTGCCATCTCGAATGCAGTGGCCCGATGGAGTGGCATTGGCAGGCACTCTTCTCCGTCTCTCAGCACCTTTCGCCTCGATAATTTATGAGACGCCTTATTAACATCAGTCAGCATCGGCAGAAGCGCAGATTCAGTCTGCGAGCCGCGTCTTCTTCGGCCTGGTCCGCGGCATCCAACTGGCTTTCTCGGAAAGGAATCTCGGCTTTTTGCCGTCTCTCGTCGGCTGCCACATTTTCACTCATTTTAATGTAATTTCTGCTGTTTAATTTGTAAATTATTTTAATGCAGCCTTTGTCATAATTTATTGCCTGCTCTTCGCTTGAGGAATCCGTGTATCCGGTAGATACACACATCCCATTGCTGACGAGCTATACGAGCATGCAAATTGGCTGCAATCGGGCAAAATCCCCGGCGAACCAACCTCATTCTATGCAAATCCGTTTGTCCCTGCCGATTCAAGTCCACCGAGATGAGGTGGCTCGTTAGGTGGTCAGCCGAGGGGATTTGCATAAGTATGTTGACTTTCAATTAAATGCCAGAGCTCGATCAGTTGTTAAAGGCATTCCGAATGTTAATTCTCAAGTGCATTTGATCGTAATGCCCAGTATGCCAAACGAATTTCGGAAATTCCTAACCCTATGGAGAACTAGATATACCCTACATTTTCTGATCTTTGAGATAATTTATTTAGATTTGGGTTTTAAGGTTACATTTTTAAATTATTTTTTTAAATAAATAAATACTATTTACTTTAACATTATTAAAATAATTTTAAGGAAACTAATTTGCAAATTTTTGTATTAAAATTCGGGAAATATTTAATTGTTAAAAATAATTTAAAATGTTGAGCTTATAATTTGCAACCTTTTTCTTACTACTCTTGAGCTTAACATTTTTTAATTTTTAAAGAAAAAAACTTTTCTTGAAAATGCTTTTTAATTTCACGAGAAAAAAAACATGTTACAGTACAAATTAACCTTATTGACTTATTATATCCCCTATATAATTTTAATGCCTTGCCTAAACCAATATACACTTTAGCAATTCGAAAACAACATTCACATTTATAAGGCACAACAATCCGTTCAATGACAAGCAGAGCAAATATGTAAGTTTGCGATTCGATTGAAATCAAGTCAATTGAGGGCATCAGAATGTTTGCATAAATTGAAAAGGAAACCTGGCCGTAATTGTACCCAAACAATTATCAACTGTGAATAAACATAGCTCAAATAATTGGCAGGGAAAAACACTTGAAAGGATTTTAGTCGGAGACAATTAGTTGGATGATTTTTCATAAATTTCTTGTAAATTAGCCACTCCGAAAGGACCGTGACGGATCTCTGATAAATTGGCACTCTACCGGCGTTCCATCTTCCTCCTGCCCAAATTACAGTATTTAAAAATCTTCAATAAGCGCAAAATCAGGACTGGAATATGCCGCTGCCGATCCACTTCAGATGCACTTCAGTTGGGGCGTGTCGGCGATCTTGAAAAGCGCCGACACCTCAACACATCATCATCTGCGTCATTGAAAGCCCGAACAGAAGCCGTCAGATGCCAACATTCTTTTCGCCATCGTCTGGGCCAATATTTAAATTAATTGATGCCTGACTCACTGCGCATTGAAAGGTGAATCGTCACAGTCGGAAAATTTACATTCGTTGGAAATGGAAATCTTGCTCGGCTTGGCATTGATTTTTGCAATTATTTAAACAATGCACACATTTGTAGGCTATTTCGTAATTGTAAGCGGCCTCTCTATGCAACATTTCCGAATGTGTGAAAAATAATTGGGTTGTGAATAATATTCGAGCGGAAATAGCTTACTATACACACAAAAAAAATCATTCTTTATGGATGTGTAGTTAACTGAAATTAATCATAAAGCATAACAAATCTGTTCTTGTTTTTCTACAATTAAAAGAGCTTTATGATTTTAGAATTTTTTTGTATGTGTATGTAAAAAAGAACATCATTTATTGATCATTGCTAAATCTCGATATGTGCTCGATTTTTCGCAGGCATTCCATTTAACTTAGTTCATGGTAATGGACTCCAATCAGAGCTCGATTAACTGACTAACTAGCCTCGTGATTTCTAAATAATTATGCAAATTTTCGATTTGCAATTGCAATTATTGCCACGTTAATAAGCAGAAGCCAAAGCCAAAGGCATCGGTCGCCTGCAAAAAAAAACTTGGCAAATTATTCAATCGAAAAATTGTTTTCCAACAGCTGCAAGATCGAACTCAAATCTGACACACGAAGGAGAAGGAGGGAGAAGTTGGCGACACGGCGACATTGCCGTCGAAGTGTTGTTGGCCCGGGGCCACAACTTGGCCGGCTGGCTGGCAGCTGTCAGTCAGTTTGACGGTTTTGACCAAATCGTGTAAAAACCGTTGAAAACGACAAACGACACGTCACCAGCAGCTGAACTCGCGAACAGATGCAAGCTTTACAACTTAAACTCTTTGTGATGGATGCGTGAGAGGAGTAAATATTCATGCTCTAAAGAAACGTTTTAAAATTTAAAGATCTGATTTTGATTAAAATAATGTAAAACATTTTTAGTATGGATTGGCTTTTGCCAAACTGATTATGGAGAAAAGCTGTAAAATAATAAATGTGAATTACATGAAAACATAATTTTGGCGTCATCCAAAATTTTAATCATTACTTCAGAAAATAAAACTTAAATAAAATTCAAGACTATTCTTATTTCAAAAAAAAAAACCGTTTTAAACCATTTTTTATTGCTAGTATTTCTTTGCAAAGGGAAAACACTATATTAAATCTGTATACATATTCTTCATTTAATACTTGTACTTCCTTAAGCGAATTAAAATTAATTATTATTAATTTATTTTTTCAAGATCACTCATCCCTGATTTTTGCCTCCCTTCTCCGATAATGGCAGACAGATATTTTATTTTTTACGCTTTTTGTCACCAGATTTCCCAGTCAGTCAGCCTCTGGCGATGATTTCCCCCGTCGTTTCCCTCCGACCGATTAATTGTTGGCAATGCGCAAGCGCGCGCCTCTCCTCAAAAGTTTGTTTTGCCAGGTTGGAAAATGTAAATTATTCTTTGTGGCATTTGTTTTTGCTGTTGTTGTTGAATTCGCTGCCCCTCAAGTTGCTTTTAATGAGGTAAAACTATTTGCATTTTGATTGACAGCACTGGAGATTGTCGAAATTGGACATGCGCATGGATGCATATTTGGCAAACGCGATAATGATGCAGGCAAAAACAAGAAGAATTCCACAAAACAAAAGGTAAAAACTTTTGATAAATGTACAAATTTTGTTCACATTTGAAAGGTGAGGAATTTTTTAATCTACTAAAATTCTGTTTCCCAAAAGGCGCTTTTAAGATGACTGAAATCGAAGGGGTTAAAAGCATTTATTGCAAAAGGTCACACTGAAATTGTTCTAAAAATTGTTCTGTACAAAAAAAGGGTTATGTTAAATCCAATAAAAAGGGGTTACAAATGCTCTTCTGCTGAGTTTTTTGTGAAAGGGTTGGTTAACCATTCCAACGCCACCCCAAAAATCGCTTTATCGTTCCAAGGAGTGTTGCATTTTCTGTTTTTTATTTGTGTCGCGCACGATTTAGTGCGCATATTCAAATTATTTCGTGTTGCCTTTAAATTGGAAACCTTTCCAACGGAAGGAATTGGTATAAAAAGCAGACAGTCGCCAAGACTTTGTAGTCAATCGCATTTTGACGGCTCTCGCGGACGGATCTGAATTTTGGAATACCTTCTCTTGGATTATACTACAT